CTTTCATGAAACTCTTGCACTTTTTTGGCGCTGGCTCTCGGACTATTAGGGGATAGCTGCCCCAACTTATTTTTTTTAAATACGAACCTACCTTGTGTTTCACATCTTTCTATAGCTCGTTGCTATCGCTTTACAGTCATATAGCAAAATCTTAAATCGGACAATTAGTTTTTGAGATATCGGCGTTTATAAGTGAGCATATTTTGAAACGTAGTAATTTTGACTATCTCATAGACAAAAAAATTTTGTCATAAAAGTTTCGAATACACATCGGCGAAACCAAATAATGTGTTTAGCGGAATTCGATCTGCTTCTGCACGTCTCTAAAGACGAATAAATAACCTTTCAAAGGAGCTATCACACGGGGAAGGTTCTCATTTTGGAGAAATTATTGAGAGTGGCAAGCCCCTAAGACAAGGGGATGGGGGTTACGTAATAAACACATTTGGTTGCCCTGATGTGTATTTGACACTTTTTATGACAGATTTCTTTTGTCTACGAGATAGTCAAAATTACTAGTTTCCAAAATATGCTCATTTTAAACACCGATATCTCGAAAAATAATCTTCCGATTTAAGATTTTGCTATATGACTGTAAAGGGATAGCAATGAGCTATCGAACGATGTGCAACACAAGGTAGGTTCGTATAAAAAAAAGAATAAGTTAGGGTAGCTACCCCATAAGGGGTGAGGCGGGGTGACTCAAAGAGTTCCTCATTTTGGTTCCCTCTCCAATCCCCCGATACGTATTTGAGATCTTCCTGATAGTATTTTTTGTCTAAGAGATATTCCTGATTGCTACTTTTCAAATTGTCACCCTGTAGGTATACCCATTGCACCTACCTTCGCAACAAACAATTCAAGGATTGATATACTCAGTGTTCAAATCCGCAAGCTAACCCTAAAACTCAACCATTAATAATTCTTCAAATCTATTGGCCCCTCATCATCCCACAATAACCTTAACAGCCACAATTTTTGAAAAAATTATTTTTGGAATAATTATGCTAGTACTCATCAATCCTAGAGTCTAAAAAATCTGCGCCATTGCAGAGATTCTTTCGTTTATCACCCCGAAAAGTGAACCAATCTGAACCCTAATCCCAAAGCAATCCCAATGTTTTTGTTTGTTCTCCTTCTCCTAGGTTTAGAGTATGATGCTCTTTCGATGTACCTACCAGTTCGACCCATTTCACGAAATAGGTCTCTATTGTTAGAACAAAACTTCCTAAATTCAAACCCTGTAGAACCCAAAATACCTACAATCTCTTTGCAAGCCTTTACAGCTTCTTGAGGTAATGAAGATCCCGAAATGCGATCGTCCATATAAAAATATTTTTCAATTAACCCAGTCGCCCTCGGAAACTCTTCATCATTCTCCAGTGCAACTTGTCTCGACCATCGAACCTCCAAAGATGGACTCGAAGTTAATCCAAAGACCACAATTTTCAAATTATATACATGAACCTCTTCAGAGGGATCGTTTCTCCACAGAATTCTCTAAAAAGATCGATGCACTTCTTTCACCTAAATCTGCCTAAGGGCCACATGCTTAGGTTGCGAAACTAAAACAATTCCTGATAATCTGAGCTGCTTTTCGCTCACCGATCAATGCCTTTCAATCGCGGGCTGTTAGATGGTCCTGTCTCTGTTTCACGCGTCTAGTTGTGTAATTTAGCAATTTCCTAGGGGATCGAAGTAGAAAACAATTGCCTAGTGCAAATTTTTTTTGTCACCTCATTGAACAAATGAGTATAGCTTGTGCGACAGATTGAAATGGCTTGCGTAAAGTGTATCATATTCATATATGTATACATTTCACCTTCCACACTTCTTCTCCACACCATCTTTCACCCCTTACAGTCTAAAGGTATAAAAACTAAAAAATATAAAAATTAATGATAGTTTTTATTTCATTTATCCAGAGTTATTTCAGAAAAATCCGGTAAATATAGCTTGCAATATAATTATGTCAAACCGTCAAAAATTAAAATTCTCATTAACACACCACTAGTATATTATATTATTATAGATTATTTATCAAGTTTTAAAAATACATTCCATACAAATGATAAGACATATTGAAAAACTTATATCAACATTATAGACCTATCTTATATTAATTTATTTTGGTCAGTAAACATACACGAGAAAACAAATTAAAGTATCTGTTGAAAAATAAACATCCCACCAAACTTCCACTTCTCGGAGTTGTAGCATGAATTACTTACTATACCCTATCTTTTACCAAAAATAGTAGTACCTAAGTAGAGGTAAATGGTTCCTTTTACATCATATGGTTCCCCCTCGAGGGTGCGAGAGAGACGACACTATACCTGTTCTCTGCGGGTGTGAGAGAGAAGGCAAAAGGTCGCTCGTTGCCCGCGCCTTTTATCCCCCATCACTCGTACTATTTGCCACTGACTGTATCTGTCGTTAGACAATAGCGCTACATACCGCAAATCAGTCGCACAACCTGTTATTTGCCATACACGCACCATCTATCGTCTGTTGTCCGTGTGCGCAGAAATCTATAATTTTCTAATTGAAAAAAGGACTCGCATCCCAAAGTCAAACGCTATCATAGGCTATTGACGATTCCAAATAATTTTTTGGTCCACAGCATGAAAGATAATGCAGCGAAAGAAAGAGTCATTGCGCAGGTAGACAAACCCATACCTTCAAAAATATATTTTAATACATGCATGTATTAAAAAGTATATTCAAGGTTATAAAAAACATAATATTCTTTCAATTTCGAATTTCATAGGGAGATGTTGGAAAAAAGGCATGAAGGTTCAGATATGTTCCTACTAAAAAGATATGTGAGGCGATCTCTGTCAATCGTGTTCGAACCTGTAGGCTGTAGGAGCAAGATAAGGGGTATTCTTGCTTTTTTCCCGTAGTAGAAGTAAAACCATTTGAAACAATTAATTTTTATTAATGGAGTATCAAGTAGTACCAACACTTTCCGTTGGCCCTATCGAGTATCGAGGGGAAGCTTGTACACGACCACCCAGCAAGCACGAAACATCTACAGGCAGTTTTGCGATGTTCTTTCTAAATCCGCTGCAGATAATGTTAGTTACATGGAAAGAAGTACTGAAGAATTCTAATTGCGACTTTGAAATGTCTCATGCCTGTTCTTTTGTTATATTACGTTGAGTAGTCCGCAGGAGATATTAGAGACATTTATAATTAAAGGAACTATCTGAATTCTATTTGCACATACTGGCAATATTGCATCTTGCATTCTGTAGAATATATCTAACCTCTCCCAACAAACACAGTAAGTACTGAAGACGTACATTTTAGGTCCTTTTTACGTCGGTTCGTCGGGGATGTAAAAATACGTTTTGAGTACGTACGTAAAAGGCTGTATTGATATATAGACAAAAAAGTACGTACTAAGAACGTACGTGAAAATCTATATTGCGTACGTCTTGTAAAAGACGTACATGTTCGTTTCAAAGACGAACAATACAGGACGAGCTGGATCATTCCCATCTATTCATGATTTTTTTATTAACCGCTGACTCGATTTCTGATAATAATATAGGTATTTTCAAATAATATGCAATTTCCAAGGAAAAGATACGGAAGTGATCCTTCCAAATTAATCTCTAAACCCTAAACCCAAAAATGCCGGTCAGGTTGACATGGATAATTCTTATTATTAAACCTTAGATCTAAACCTAAATAAGGCAGGTCATATAATCAAGGATTTATATATCATCTAGGTACCCGACCTGTGGCCTTAATAAATTGTCAAATGTTGAAATTAACATGAAATAAACCAATAGAATGGAAAACAGGAAGGGACACCGGCCACTTGCATCGGCAGGGTGCAGTGTTGCCAATGACCCGATAATTATCGAAATCTATAATTTTGACTACGATTCAATAATCGATAATCACAAGCTAAATTTACCATAATTTATTGAAACTACAATTTCAATGCATATTTTTAAAATTTTTAGTTGAAAATTAAAAATTTATTTGGTTGGTGGTTTTGACGTTTCCCAGCTAGAAATGGATTGAGCTGGCAGCACCGTTTGCCTCCTTTGAGTTGTTCCTGTCTGATTTTGCCTTTTTGGTCTTGTATGTGTAGCTCGTTTGTAGTGTGGTGTGAGGTTGTATGTTTTCTTCTATTTTTGTTTTTTTTTTTACCAAGTCAAGTGACGCGGGAACCATTTTGTTTTGATTGCAGTAACGCCAGCAACGTGTTTAGCTTTGTTTTTTGTGTATAATAATAATACTTTTACCAAGATTTTTACTGTGTGAAAGTTTTCTTGATTTGTGCCCGTTTACAATTCTTTCAATGTTTGCAGGTTATACCTACCTATTTTTTTATATTTACTGTTGTTTAAGGTTAAGGTTAAGTTTAAGGGTATGTTATATTTTATAATTGATCTTATGTTATTTATATTTTTTAGTTTTTTAATGTAATTGTTAAGATATTTATTGTATAAAAATTGCCACTTTAAAATACAATATGTATATCCTGCTCACACTCCGATGTCCACAGGTGCAGGTAAATTTATCACCTTTCCCTATCAAATAGCATTGAAATGTGATTTTACCTGTACCAACCTGTGGACATCGGATTGTGAACGGGTAATAGTTTTATTTTTCGCTATAAACATACATATAAATACATATGTACTTCGTATATGTACTTTTTGATACCTACCTATCCAATCAACCAGTGCCGGTGGGGTGTAAAAATATATGGAAAAACCCTGTACCTACGTCCCAAACACATTCCTAAAAAGCTATACTAAATACGTACGTCCCAAACACGTACCTAACGTACTGAGTACGTACCTAAATGTACGTACGTGAGACGCACTATTTTGTGGAAAACGACCGTCATAAAGACGTCCCTCGTACGTCGGCGGGACCTAAAAAGTACGTCCGCGGACGTACTTTCGTTCGAAAAAGTACGAATTATGGACGTACTAAAGACGTACTTGTGTTTGTTGGGCTAATCTTGCATCGCATTAGTCACATGGCTTCTGGTCCTTCTGACTCTTGCCGCTCTTGAATAACGTTTTGATACATTTTCTGTAGTTCCTATTTTGCCATTGAGTATTGCGGGCAGGACGTGGGTTTCAGAATTAGTTTGATTGTGAGTTTGTTGGTTTTTAGTTTTTGGGGTTCGGGTTTTCTTTACCTGACAGCTGACGACAGTTGATGTTGATGATTAATTAGTGTTGTGAAAAGAGAAGTGCAGTAAATCACCCTGTATATTCATTCAGCTTTTATGATCATTTTGTGTATATATTCGCAATAAAGGCAATGAATTGATCTACTGTGGATGTTGTTTCAAGACTTCTATGGGACATTCGCTTCTCATATAACATAAGATTATCTTTGAGACGAACTGTGGATGTTCTTTCGAGACTTCTATCGGGCGTTTGCTTCTCATATAACATAAGATATCCTTGAGGCGAACATTTGGCAGTTCCTGCGCGATCTTTGAGATGTTCGTGGAATTTAGTATGTGTAGGGGAAAGTGTTCCACAATGAAACATTCGAAATAACTTTTTGAACTGCCCGCCTATTCAGTTTAGAAAAATATGACCGTCGAACATAACTAATTGTGCATGTGCTCCTACAGTTTTTACGAAATTTAGCGAATTTTAAGCTAATATGGAAAAAGTTCCACAATGAGACACTTGGTTTTGTTCCACAATGAGACGATCTGACAACTGCTTTTTCTACCCCGTAACAGTAGATATGAGTATGGTCGAAGAAAAAAACATCATGCTGATACCTTCCAAACATTGAACGACTGGGAAAATTAAGAAGCAACAGTCTCTGATACGTTTTGAAGTTAATTCAACCTCATTAAATGTGCGTTCATATTTTGAAGGGTTTATTATATTTTTGATTTGTCGGATTAATATTTCAAGTTGCTCTACTGTTTCTTTAAAAGAATGGTTATTTTTCTTTTACAAATGTTTTTTTTCAATATTTTTTGTAGTGTTTTTTGGTGTGAAAGGACTTGTCTCACTGTGGAACATACTTGTTCCACAATGAGACAAAAATCACGTTTTAAAAAAATTGCCCTATTTATTTTTTGAATCGATATAATAATAATCTAATTGCGTTAAATTATCAGAGATATGTCAATCTATGAGCATGCAACATTAAAATTACAGAATTCAATCATACCTTCTGGCTATTTACCGAAACGCAATTTTTGTCTCATTGTGGAACACTTTCCCCTAAGTAGCATACCTCATGTTGATACCTCTGTGGGATGGTTCGATGTTTGCTGGGCAAGGGGTACAACTCATTCTACGCTTTGTTGTCAAACTTAACAAAAAAGTGCGAGATAACATCAAGCGATTTGGGCGTCTATTGCAAAAATATTACCTACATTTTTTATATAACCTTAAATATATGCACCTTTCAATACATGCATATCAGAACGTACATTAATAGTATATTACATACCGAGGTGGAAAGTGGCCAAGTAGCCAAACCCATACCTTTAAAAATATATTTTATTTACAATCATACATGTAATGTTGACTTTACTGACTTTTAAAAAGTTCGAAAATGTCACTTTTTTGACTTTTACTTTCGGCCCACGGCCCACGGTGATTTGCGAAAGGTATAGCATCTAAGGGTATAGCGCTATTTTCTAACGAGAGATAACCCACGGGGAGGAACCATATGATGCAGGAGAAATCATCTACCTCTACTTACCTGAAACGTGCGTTTTACCTAACCTTTCCAGATCTAAAATTACGAGTGTGTTGTCTATGACCCCCGCACAAGATTCGCTTGAAGGCTTGCCGAAACTCCGGATTAAATATTGTGTAGATAACCGGATTAAGGGTTGAATTGAAATACCCCAACCACAGAGCGAAGCTCATAATAAACTCACTTATATTGCATGAATCACCGCACAGAGGCAGTAAAAGAGCCAAAATAAAAAAAGGCAGCCAACACATTACAAAGGCTCCCGTTATGATTGCCAGAGTTTTGGCAGCTTTTCTTTCGCGTTTCGCTTCCAAGCTTTCTTTTTTAGCCCTGCGGATGCTGTTGGGCTTTTCATGATGCAGGGTGACAGCGGACGGTGGAGATTTATGATTTCGGAGCTCTTTTTGCAGAATTTCCGTCTGAAAATTATAAAAAATGTATTATTGTTATTTTATATCGATATCATAAGAAAAATACCTAGTTGAAATTATTTTTTATTCCTGTGGAATAAGAATTAGGATATTATGAGAAGTCTCTTTCATACTATTTATGCTGCTTCGTCGAGTATATGGCTAACAAGGACTGCCGTGTTACTTTTGCATAATTCTTGGTAAACCCAATATAATTAGTTGTAATATAAATGATATACATAATATAATCGACGTCGCTAAAGCAGGGCATCGTTTTTATACGAGTCATATACCTCTGATAGATACTTCATGCAGGTGCAATAATTCGAAGTCTGATGCGCTGATTTTGCCAAAAAGCTATCCCACATAACAAAATTGTATTCTTAGAATGTATTAAGAATGTTCTTTTTTTAGGAGGAATGTGCCTAGAATGTTCGCCAAAACCATTGCGAATGTCCTGAGAATGTTCTGAGAAAAGATTGTAGAAATACTGTTTGCAATACCCAAGAACTTCCTGGGAAATCCATTAGGATATTCCTAGAATATACCTATGAGATTCTCAGTACATTCTGAAAAGAATATTCCTGTTTGATTCTTAAAATATGCTCGAAATGTATATTCCCACATTCAAAGAATGTTTCTATGACATTATAGTTATATTCTTAAAAGAATATTATACCAGTATGCTTGAAATATTCTTAGAATATATCTACATTTATCATTCTCAATATGCATCCTAGACATAACATTCATGTTTGATTCTAAGGATATACTTGGAATGTTAATTTTCGCTTCCAAATAATGCTCCTTTCAGCCCTTTTATATTAAAGGCTGTGGAAGAGTTGTTGGAAAACTTCTCTGGAAAACACAAGTATTTAACCAAAGCTCCGGTTTCGAGGTTGTTATGCTCTCGTCGAAGCACACCAACTGAGAGAAACAGATTCTAAGGTGATTCAAACACGAGGCAAGATGTAGATCTTTAATAGCATGTGGCTCCCTCTCTTGGAAGTCCTACAAAGCAAAAGAAAAAGGATATACCTATAATATTCTTAGTAGGTTCTAGATAGAGCATTATTGTTTAATTGTTCAATTAAGATTGTTGAGTAGGTACTTTAGATAATTAGGTGAACAATATAAAAATATTCATATCTTGGTTACCTACCTACATATACTTTTCAGCGCAACTTGGTAGGTATATTCTTAATACTTGATAGAGACATTAGCCGAAAGAACATTTTTTAGGGTACATTATAATAATTTTCGTATGACAATATTCAAATAATGTTATATAAAGTAGGTTCTTAGCACAATCTTTCAGGTAGGTGCATAGAAGCAACATATTCCTAGTACATAAATAGAACGTTCAAAAATGAATATTTCAATCGGAACATTCTTAGGATATTCATTAAACATTCCTAAAAGAACATTCCAAAAAGCACTTTGAGGGAATATTCTGAGAATATGAATGTTCTTTCACTGTTATGTGGGTATAGGAAATGCTGAATTGCATCTAAAATAAATGCGTTTATTTTATTTGAAAAAAAATCAATTTCCACTGTCTCTCGTACTAGTGGAAATTACACATTCTTGACAGTTGATTTTTATTTATGAAAATTTTTCATTGTCACCATTAACGTTAACAATTCATTATAATATTTCAAAAAATAAATTAATTTACAAAGAAAATTGTCTTAGGTATACGAAAGTATTAAGATCCTTATTAATTATTTACATAATGAAATAAAGACTATACCTATCCACGAGTTTTTAACACTTTTCGTGAACAACTTAAAAGATATTTGGTTTACCAATTTCACGTCTAACCTAACAGATTTTGTAATTGTAGCTGTACATATCCGTATGATATTTTTGTTTTTATATTGTACAACGGTATTCTTAATATTTTCCAAAAATAAACCATTTCGTTTTTGTACTTTTATATTATGTTTGTATAATGTCTTGGAGATAGCTCTCCAGCTCTCATACAGACGATTGTTGTCATAGATTCAAATATGCCTTAAACAGAGACGCTTCTATTTCCTCTTCTGGACCACCTTAGCACGCAGGTCGTAGCATCCTATACAGAGAGCATTACGACGCGGCGGAGGAATAGAATGTTGTCCTCTTTTATTGCCGCTTGCACCGACCATTTTGAGGAAGCCTTAGCGATATTCCTTAAAGTGACATTTCTCCATGTGATTTTAAGGAATACTTATCTAAAATGGTCGGTGCAAACCGCAATCAATAGAATATAATATGTCTTTGTTAACAATAATTGTAACCTAATGTAACCTGAGTCCGGAGTGTTTGGCAGTCACAAAGCAATAGGGCGATTTGACGTTCTCTCAATTCAATATGGCGCCGTGTGAATGACACACCTGACAACCGTAAAGGCGCGTTTACATTCAATTCCCATTCAAATTGCAATCAATTGGAATTGAATGTAAATGCACCTTCACGGTCGTCAAGTTTGTTATGATCACGTTGCCATCTTGAATTTCAAGCTGATTCGAATTGCCTAATGCTTTTAGTGTGGTTTTCTTAAGTGGCGAATACGAGGAGACAGATTGGTATGTTGACAGTGGCGCGAGCATGCATAGGGTGTCTGACATTCAGCTTATAAGTGAAAAATGTCCTTGTCCTATAAAAGAAATATTGGTGGCCAATGACACAAAAATTCCAGTACTGAAATTGTTACGAAATTGCCTCGAGAGGTGTCAGAAGTCCGATTACTAGCAAGACAATTGGTGTAATAATTTGAGCTAAACAATCAGTGCACTTTTATTGAACTGGAATAGTGCCTTTATTATTACCGGATCTCACATCGAAAAACAAGCTCAAAAACGGATTATCTGGAAAATTCTGTAGCATAACATACCCAGGTTCCTCTAGCAAGATTGAATGGTGTAAATTTTAATTAATATTTTCAAACAAATCTTCTGAAAACGAAAATGAAAAACAAATAGGACCTACGTTGTGGAAACTTACTCAATTTTACTTTCTTGCCATGCGTCCGACAATAGCAAAATTGGGAAAATTTGGGGGCAGTTGTGATATGTAAAATAAACGAGAAATTTGTGTAACGTCAACTTTATTATTAAAGTAAATCGTACTGTTCTCGACCTGGAACTGACGAGGGGAAAAAGCACGGCAGAGAAACCCTCGAGCTAACATTCCTCAAAAATCAAAACATACTGTGTCATTTTAATAAATAGTTGTGAGTCAATAATCAATAATTCAAATCAATGATAGTTTAAATTAGGTATAGTTTATCTATTCTAAATTGAACCACTTTATTTTCAAGCTATGTATAAGGAACGATCAAATATTAGGTACCTTTGCGTAAATAAATACTCAAAAAACCTATATAAATGTTTTAAATATTCCCTACTAGAAACTACAATCGACAAAATCAAATACTGGTTGTCGGAACGAAATTTCGAAAAGATTTCTTCATAATTATTTGCCTGGACGACGCGGCGCCGGCCGCGGCCGGTGTAGTTCACAGTCACAGTAGTTCGTTCTTTTTGTCAGAGGCGGAGGCAGGTTGATACGTGTGCGTTAGAGTGCGGAATAATAAATATTTTATTCAATTCGGACTTATAATTATTAAGATGGCCTTTTGGAGACCTTTCGAAAACAATGGAGAAAATGCAATTGAAGAAAGGGAAAATAATGATCCTGAATTTAAAAACAAAAACTTAGATGTGCATTGTCAAAGACTGGTTCTGAATATTTATGACCGTTTAAATTAGGAAAGTGTAGGAAACTCAAATAATTCCATTATAAAAAGAATTACTGAGCTTACCAAATTATTGTTAGAAAGATTTTTACAGGTAATGACCAACGTGAATACAGGGACACTTCGGACTTACCTTTCATTTTTGACACTTTTTCAGTTCAGTTTAGTTCAGTTTATTAATAACTACTGATCTTGACAAACAATCAGAGGAAACAGCTTTATCATCAAAGTGTTTTACATTCACACATGACTTTACCAAATTATTGTTGGATAAACTGATATTCATATCAGTGAAACAAAAATTAATAAATTAAACTTTCATTATTAGTCTATACTTTGCTAATTTATATCGCAGCTATGGATGACTAAATGTATTTATAATAGTTTTTATATGTGAGATAAACAGATGAGGAATCGTTTACTTAAGAAAGGGTTTGTCTTGATGTTGAGTCAGTTCGTATAGTTATTTCTATGAGTTCACACGCTCTGCTTTCCGCTGTGTTCGATATAATAAATATATTGAATATCGATAATTAACAAGTTCTTTTATTTCTTAGTCCATTTCCCAACAGGTTATGGGACCAGTGTACGTGTATTCATTGCGGTTGTGAAAACCGGGAGTGTTTAATGTGACAATGGAAAATTTGAAACTAAAAAGAAACAAAAGGCTTTATGCTAACAGAGCTTGAACTTAGATAAGAACATCAGAGCTCAGCAATTTAGAAATAATTATCGTTGAGGATATTTTAAAATCGATTTTAAAAGACGCAATTTCGAACAAGTCTCTGAAACACAATGAAAAAAGTGAAACAAAACAATTCCATCAATAAAAAAAAAAAAATGGAACCCTTATAACAGTAACCAAAAAGGGCACAATTAGTATTCCCAGTAATATGGGCATACAGGAGTACATCCTTAGTACAAGTCTTTTTGCTGTCCGTAAGAAAAATGCAAAGGGTAGTATGAATATTGTTTAAAAAAAAAAAAAAAAGTGGTAGTATTTACAAAGACGGTAAGCTTATAATTTATGGGTAAGTCTTTGAACACTTTAATAATAATTGCTCTTGAACTCACTGTTATTGGAAACTAAAAAAAAAAAAAAACTCTATTATTCAAGCAAATAGTGACGATTAAATAAAAAATAAAGATTATCAATTGTGGTCTGAACGTTTGGTCCACATTGGTGAGGTTTAAATTATTAAATTATTATAAAAAAAAAAAAAAAAAAAAATAGAGATCGAGGACTTAGGGCGCAAATCGATCAGGT